AGAGTGAGACTCCAACCCCCCCCCCCAAAAGAGAGAGAGACACAAGGAAGAGAAATGTTTGCTATTCATTCAGTGGAAGTGGATCATCATAAAGGTCTTCATCCTAGTTGTCTTCATGTTGAGTGGGCGAGGAGGAGAAGGGAGAGGAGGGATTGGCCTTGCAGTCTCAGATTGGCAGAGGTAGAAGAAACCCCTGTTGTCCAAGGGTCAACTGTACCCTGACTGCCTTGATCCAAGGCACCTTTCTGCTCGACCTTCACCCTGAAGCAGTCTGGGCCAGGAACCAGCTTGTTTGCTGACAGGTCCTTCCTGTCAATTTCCCAGACTTGCTTGGCATCACGGGAATGGCCCCTGCCAGTGATACCGCCCAGGCTCCATTACGCTCTGGCTTTCATCTGTTTCTGGCCAACAGTTTGTGCTGGTGTGAGGTTAGAAACGGGAAGGGAAAAGTGAGCAAAAGGTATGAGTAGACACTTCTCAAAACAAGACATATGAGCAGCCTCACTAATGCTCAACGAAATGTTCAGCCTCACTAATCATCAAAGAAATGCAAATTAAAACTACACTGAGATACCTCCTAACTCTAGTCAGAATGGTCATCATAAATAACAAAAAACAACAGATGCTGGAGAGGATGCAGGGAAAAGGGAACACTTCTACACTGTTGGTGGGAGTGTAAACTAATACAACCTCTGTGGAAAGCAGTGTGGTGATTCCTAAAAAATCTAAAAATCGACCTTCCATACAATCCAGCAAGCCTCCTTCTGGGAATATACCCAGAGGAACTCAAATCACTCTATGAAAAAGATACCTGCATACACATGTTTATTGCAGTATTATTCACAGTAGTAAGACATGGAACCAACCATGCTGCCCATCAAAAGTGGACTGTATTTTAAAAATGTGGTACATATGCATGATGGAATATTATGCAACCATAAAGAAGGACAAAATTATGAACTTTGCAGCAACTTGAATGGACTTAGACTTTGTAATACTATATAATATGTGTATGTGTGTGTTTATATATGTATATATTATATGTTATGTATATTATATGTATATATATGCATATATACACACACACACACCATAATACTTCATGTTCTCACTCATAAGCGGATCCTGAACAATGATCATTTAATCATAATACTACAAGAAAAGTTTTGGCAGTAGTGGGAAACTGCCAGGGGAAGTAGGGGGAAGGCAGACTTCATCAATAGGTGAAGTGGGGACCAAAGTGAGGCCCAAACTTTACCTGTACAATGACCATTTATATACCTAACTCTGAATTGTATCCCACATCTTTAAAATAAAAATTTTTAAAAATAGGAAATGAAAAGTCAGGGTGTTTCTCTCTCTTGCTGAATGCTTTGGGCTGCCTCTACCAGGGCATTGAGCAGCTCTGTGGGCTAAATATATCCATTATCTTGACTATGGTATTAGTGTTATAGGGTGAATTATTTCCCCAGAAAGACATGCTGAAGTCCTAACCCTCAGTACAGTGAACCAAGTAAAGAGAAGGTCATCCTGGATAAGGTGAGCCCTAAATCCAATGACTAGTATCCTTAGAAAAGAGAAAGATTTGATGATACAGAGGAGACACAGAGGAAGTCTTGTGACAATGGAGAAGGAGATCGGAGTGATAGCAGCTACAAGTCATGGAAGACAAGAATGGCCAGCAATCATCAGAAGCAAGAAGTAAGGAGGGGCTCTTCCCCAGAGCCTCTGGAGGGAGCATGGTTCTGACAATACCTTGATTTCAGACTCTGAGTCTCTAGAACTGTGAGAGAATTCATTTCTGGTGTTTTGTGCTACCCAATTTGTAGTAGATACATCAGCTCTTGGAAAGTAAAACAGATGGTGTCATAAGTGTATATATCTACTAAAACTACCATTTTTGTAGCTGGAATCATATATTATGCACTATTTTTAAATTTCTCTTCTTCTACTCAGCACAGTGATTTTGAGATTCTATGAGGTTCCATGTTATCAATGTCATTACTTTTTATGGCTGAGTAGTGTTCCATTGTATGATATATCACATTTTGCTTATTAATTTGCCTGTCATACTTGTTCTTGTATGCATCTCTGTGTATCTATATATTTTTATTTCTCTTAGCTATAAGCCCAAAGAATGGCTAAGTCATATGTTAGGTGAATGTTTACCTTTTTAAGAAGTTGCCATATTGCTCTCCAGAGTAGCTGTACGGTCGTATGTTTCCACCAGCAATGCATGAGAGTTCCAGTTCCACATTCTTATCAGCTCTTGGTATTGTCAGTCTAATTTTAGCCATTCTCATGGGTATGGCACAGTGTATCATTGTGTTTCTCATTTGTGCCTTCCTGATGATTAATGATGTTTGGCATTTTTTCATGTGCTTATTGGCATTGGTGTGTCTCCTTTTGGGAAGTGTCTTGGCTGTTGTAAATGTATTTTTAAAATGTTGTTTTCCAGTTGATCACTGCTAGTTTACAAAATGCAGTCGGTTTTGTGTATAAACATTGTAACTCGCAACTTTGCTAACTTCACTTATTAGTTCTGGTAGTTGCTTTCTCGATCCGTAAACATGTCATACAAGTAGAGATGGTTTCACTTTTTCTTTTCTGATATTTAGACCTTTTATTTCAGGCATTTGCTTTATTTCACTGGCTAGGACCTCTGGTGTATGTTGAATAAGAGTGGGGGAAATGGACACCCTCGCCTACTTCCGTGTCTCAGGAGAGAACTTGCAGACTTTGCTGTTAAACGTGAGGGAAGTGGATTTTTCCTTGGTGTTTCTGATCAGACTGAGGAAGTAAACTTTCATCTGTAGTTTAATCAGAGGTTTTATCATGAATGGCTGTTGAAGTCTGTCAGATGAATTTTCCGTATTTCTTTTAAAGATCATATTCTTTTCCTCTTAATTCTTTAATACAGGGAATTACATGGATTGATTTTTCAAAATGTTCAACCAACCTTAAATTTGTGGGATGAACCCTAGTTAATCATGATGTTGTGTCCTTCTATATATTGTTGAATTTGATTTGCCAACATGTTCTAAGAATTCTTGAAATGATTTTGCAACTGTATTCATGAGGGATATTGAACTATACTTTTCTATTTTTGTGATATCCTTGTAAAGTGTTGGTGTTTGGGCTATGTTGGCCTCATAGAAAGAAATTTAGCCAGGCATGGTGGCTCAAGCCCGTAATCCCAGCACTTTGGGAGGCCGAGGTGAGCAGATTGCCAGAGACCACGGGTTTGAGAACAACCTGGGCAACTAATCTCTCTGTGATTCTTCACTGACCCTTGGATTATTTAGAAATGTATTGTCTAATACCCAAATTGAATATTTAGGTCAGGCTCACCAAGCATGTTCTCCTCTTTCTTAAAGTCTACTTTGTCATATGACATCACTTTGTCATATTCACAGTTCACACCCATACTCAGAAGGAGAGGTGGGAATCTTGGGAACCATCTTAGACTTCTACCTACCACATGCTTTTTATCCTTTCTGACTGTCTCTGCATTTTAATTAAAGTGTTTAGATCATTAATATTTAATGTAATTACTGATATGATTAGATTTAGGTTTACCAATTTATTATTTGTTTTCCATTTGTCCCCTCTCCTTTTTGTTCTTCTGGTCCCCCTTGCCTGCTTTCTTTGGGATTATTAAAGTAGTTTTTGGTATTCTGCTTCACCTGGCTTTTTAGCTATATCTTATTTTATGTTTTAGTGATTGCTCTGTGGATTATAATATACAATTGCAATCTTTCACATTCAATAGAGTTAATATTCTCTATTTCACATCATATGTAACAACCTTGCCACCCTCAGATTCTTCTCCCCATACCTGGTCATTGTGTGTAATTACATCTATACACATTGAAACATCAGTAAGACAAGGTCATAATTTTTGTTTTAAAGTCACATATATTTTAAAGAGTGAAGAAAAATAGTCTTTTATAGATACTCAGATATTTTCTAGTTTTGTTGCTTTTTCTTCCTTTCTGATAATCCAAGTCTCCCTTCACCTCAAACAACTTTCTATGGTATTTCTTGTATTGTAGATCTGCTAGCAACTAATTCTCCAGTTTTGTTCTCTCTGAAAATATCTTTATGTTGTCTTTATTCTTGAAGGATATTTTCAGTTGATGTAGAATTCTGGACTGACAGTTACTTTCTTTTCCTCGGCACATTGGAGATGCTTTTCCATTGTCTTCTGTCATCCATGCATTTTGACGTAAAAATCTATAGTCATTCAACACATTGTTTTCTTGTATGTAATGTGTCATTTTCTGTTGGTTGCTTTCAGAGTTTTCTGTTTATCCTTAGTTTTTTTAGCAGTTTGATGCTGTGGGTATTTTGTTTGTTATGTCTCTAGGCATGGATTTGCTTGAACTTATTTTGTTTAGAGTTCACTGAGCTTCTTGAATCTAGAAATTTATGATTTTACTAAAATTTAGCAAGTTTTTGGCCATTATTTCTTACCCCATTCTTCTCTCCTCTCTTTTTGACTTCCAATTAGTATCTTCTAAAGTTTTTGATATTGTTCCCTGGGGCTTTAAAGTGCTGTTCATTTGTTTCATTTTCTTTCTCTCTCTTTTTTTTCTTTCTAACTGTTCTTCAAATTAGAAATTTCTGTTTCTACTGCAACAGAACTTCAAGTTCACGGACTCTTCTATCGTCTCTATTTTTCTATTAGAGCATAAAGTGACTAGCGTACCCTCTTAAAAAGTCTCTAAAATAAGGGAGATTACCCCTATGCTAGTCATTGCTCCAAGTTTTTACCGTAATACATAATCTACCTACTTTTAAATACTAATCGGAATCTTCAAGTAGCTGTTCTCATATTTTGACCAGAGTCAAATGTTATGGTCAGTGGGAGTATCAGTCTCAGAAGGTTATATAATGACACCAGAAGCAGAACTCTCTTAAAATTGGTGTTTTGACCCCTCCCACACACAGGACCTCATTGCATCCTCAGTGCCAGTAGTGCCTCCTGGGCTCTCACAGGTGGTCTGGTCTCCTGCCAGGTGAGCTCTCAGTCACACTGGCTCTACAGGCAGTCATTATCACTTTGTTGGAGTTCATCTCTCCAATTAGATCATAAGCATCCTGTTTATGTTTTTCACCAAGATGTTCTTGAGGCCATGCATGATGCCAGGCACAAGACACATTTATCTGAATGCATGAATGAATGAGGTTCATTGGATTGCTGACTCCACCCTTCTCCCTAGCTCACCAGGAAGTTTTGCTCAGAATTAACGATATAAGTGGTCTTGAAATATTTGCTCAGAACATCAGTGCGGCCAGGCAGTTTCACTTCATTTTTTTCCCCCCAACATGTAATATATTCTTGGCTTACAGCAGCACATGGGTTATATTGGAGTCTGTAACTTAAAACACATGTTCCTATTAACAGTGTTAGATTTGCTTATTTGGTTTTCAGTCTAGTCCACAAATTCCTATGAAATCCCAAATGTAGCCAAAATTGTGAATGCCTACACCAAAACAATATAAATAAATGCTACTGCAATACTGGCAACTTAAAATCCAGGAAAACAAGAATTAATATATTTAATGTGTTACTTAAAAAAAGTAGGTTTGGTTAGAAAAAGAAAACTGGGTAGGTAGAACTTTTGTGAGGATGCTGAATGAGATTTCAGAACATTTTCAGGGGCTCAAGAGGTTGATGGCACTGGTTTGTGTATAATTTAAATTCATATCAGATGACGTTCTATATTTTATGTGGGTGGGAAATTATTTTTATAATATAGTGGGAAAGGAGACAGGGAGAGAAGAAAAGGAGTGCAGGGAGACAGATTCAAAATCAGAGAGAGACTCGGAAAAATCTATTTTCTTGTGGCTGCTGGACAAAAATTATAGGAAAGAAAAAATTTAAAGAGATTCGAAAGAAAGAAGCTTCTTGGTATGGGAGTAGCTGGGAGAGGATTAGACAACTGGGTGAATGGAGACAAGGGGGCGGGGCACAGAGCGTGTTGCCTCCCTGAAGGAGGACAAAGGGTCTCACTGAAACGATGGATCTGATTTCAGTTGGCCAATAGAATCTTCTGCAAGGATGGAAATGGGTTGGGTCTACACTGTCCAATATGGCAGCCACTAGCCACCCATAACTATTGAGCACTCATAATGGGCTGCTACAACTGAGGAACCAAACTTGTTATTGTATTTAATTTTAATACAATTGGAATTAAATTTATTTTTATGTATTTAATGTTATATTTTATTTTAAAGATGTGGGGTACAATTCAGGATTAGGTATACAAGTGGACATCATACAGGTAAAGTTTGGGCCTCCTTTTGGTCCTCACTTTGCCTGATTGGAGATCAGGTACCCTTATTGATGTTGTATCCCCACTTCCACCCCGGCAGTGCTCCACTACTGCCAACCCCTTTCTTATAGTATTATGGTAAATGTTCAGGGTCCGCTTATGAGTGAGAACATGTGGTACTCTGTTCTTTGTTTCTGTGATAAGTCACTGAGTATTATGGGCTCTAAATCCATCCAAGTTGCAACCACACATGACCACTGACTACTGCAGAACAGACAGCTCCCTGCAGCCTTCATGGGTGAGAGTCAGGGAAGTGGAAGGGAAAGTACCACTATGGCCCAGAACAGCTGATTATACAGAATGGGACAAGTGAAGTGAGTAACACAGGCAGGGAAAAGAAAGAGGTTGGTGGCCATCAGTATGACTGGGACCTATGTCTTATGTTAACTTTTCAGTCATGCCTAAGGAGGCAGACTACATTTAGGGAAAGATAAAAATAGGTCAACTCATTTAAGTTACTTCAGCAACAACAAAAGACTTAAACACAGCTCACTTGGACTGCTTTAATGACTTTCAACATTAATATGGGAGATGTCCAGGCAAGCATGAGACAGCATTAAGATTTGACCAGAGAATGAAGGGGGCAAATGGATCATTTCTAAGGTGCATGTAGAGGGGTCTGTGACCCCTCCGTGACACAGGCCTGGCAAATGGAAGGTGCACCATAAGTATTTCTTGAGTGATTGTCTGCCTTACCAGGGCAGAAAGCAGCAATGCAGAGCCCAGGCCTGGCAGATCCGGAGGCTGATGGGTCCTGCATCCTCCCTAGAGAATCCTGCAGGGACAAGCTCACTGGGTTTTGAAAGCTGGGAGCACAGCAATCTGAAGACTCAAGATTAGATGAGATATCACCAAGCAGGAACCTAGAGAGACCTGAATGTCAGTCACAGGAAGAGGAAGATGGAGGGGGCAGAGGTAGAGCTGTTCAAACTACAGGAGAGGGCAGGGAGTGGGGTCTCCCTGAGAAGAAGGTAAACCTTCTTATGGGGACAAAAGACTTACTCCTGTGGCAGGTATCTCATCGCTTGGCACCTGGATGTCTAAATTGAGTGACAAAAAAGAGTAGCATCTGGTTATGTCATTTGTTCTTCATACCCAAGACAATATATCTTTCTCTCACACACACAATGTTATGACAAACATTGAGTAGATTTTTGTGGGAGTGTCCAAATAATAAAATGCCCTGAGACTATCTGAGTTCTTGGAAAGGTAAAACAAAGAGTAAGACTGAGTAATGATGATATTGTTCCCTTTGTAGATATTCTTCAGCTTCTGTGAGAAGAACGTGGATTATGAAACGTTCAAAGCACTCAATGATGCCTGTCTTGTCTATGATGGTCGCCTGGTGATTGATACCAACTTCCACACCAATGACATCGCCATCAGAGCTGCTGGCTCCCTCACCAAATTCTCCAGTCGATATTACTCGAATGAGTGGACCCACAGCAACTTCAGCTCCAAAGAAATTGGCTTTCAGCTGGCAGCTGCCATGCTCAGTCTCTTTGATCCAACTCTCGAACCTGTGACTGAACCACCTGCTGACCTTGACCAGCTGATCCCCATGTATAAGGGAGCCAAGGTCCAAGGTATGTGAGCAGGCAGCCTTCTTGCCCTGGGCAGGGCCACCAATTGGACCTGGGTCCAGCACTGAGGTAGCTCTCTGTGTTTCCCTTGGGTTTGGTGAGGAGGCTCCTTTGTCCCTCAGTGGGTTGCTACAATAGTGGAGGGTCCTCCTCAGTTCTGAAGCACTTACTACAAACCTGGGGTTATTATTGTGGTGCTTTGCATTTTGAGCATTTATGATGAGCCATATCCTGACTGTGATCCTAGTTTTACAGATGAGAAAACAGAGTAGGGAATGACCAGCCACTTTCCTGGAGGTCTCACAACTAGAAAGTAGGGGTTTGCCCTGACACCTTACTCCAAGCTGTCCTTCTTACTGTGAATTCAGAGATAAGGAGACCCCGCCAGCAGAGCATCAGACTAAAAGAGACAGAAGCCCCACATTCCAGTCCTTGTCTTTCTCCTCCTGACTAGATGGCCTCAGTGAGAGCCTGCTCTGTTTCCTACTCTGGCAAGACCTTCGGGAAGGTGGTGCCAGCAAGAGGGAGGAGTATAAGAAACCAGAGCTGGATCCGGCTCAGACTTCAGGGACATGCTCAAAATGTTGGATTGATAATGATTGTTTCTAAAGCACTGAATAAAGACTTTTGTTGACCGTCCTTATTAAGTTCAATTTTTTAGTATTTTGGCTACATATTGGAGAAAGGATGCGGGAGGAGGGGGATGCCATTGCAAGAGTTAAGGTTTCCAAGGTCTTAATTTGGTCAGGTAGGTATAGGCTAGGGTGCTGAAGGTGTAGATAACCACAGGATGCACAGACAGGGTCCCCCAGGCAGGTCTTGGAGGATTGATGGCTGTTTTATGGGGTATCATGTCACTTTCACATTGATGTGATTAAATAACACTCAGTCACCCCAGAGAGTTCCTTGCTATTCTAAGTACTTAAGCAGGAAAGTTTGAGGAGTAGACACCACTGTAGACATCTCTGTCTGTCTTATGGTAAAAATAGGATCTATTACCCACCTTATTAACAATTGATTTTAAATGTGAAACACTTGCCATCTCCTCTAGGGGGCATTCTTCCTGGATCTTACCATTACCTGCATGTTACCAAGCCTGCCATTCCAACTCCCTTGGAGGTACAAATGGCACAGCCTAATTATGTAAGTATCACTTCTGGCTTTCATTTTACTTTCAAGTCTAAAACTTTGTTTACAGGAGGGTGAAATTCTTTATCAGAGTCTTCAGTGTAATGCATTGACCCACACGTCAGCCCCCAAGAGGGCCACTAGTGAGTTTTGCCCTTTTGGTTTTCTTGGTATGGCCCCCACCTACAGTGAGCAGGGTTGACCTATGCAGCCAACAGGGTACTGTAGAAATGACAGTGTATGACTTCCAAGGCTAGGTCAGAAGGGATGCTATAGCTTCCAATGTGCATCCTTCTAGATGGCTTATTGCTATGTTATAAGGACCCCTCTGGAGGGGTCCATTTGGTAAGAAATTGAGGCTTCCTTCACCAGCTATTATCAGTTTGCCAGCCAAATGAGCAGGCCACCTCAGAAGTGGATCCTCCAGCCTCATTCCAGCCTTCAGAAGCCCCAGCCATCATCTTGGCTATAAACACCTAGGCCACTCTCAGTTTTTGACTCCTAGGGACTGTGAGATAATAATAGTTTATTGTTGTTTTAAGTCATTACTTTTAAAAATAGACTTTTAAAGCAGTTTTGGGCTCAAAACAAAATTGAACAGAGGTACAGAGATTTCCCATATGCCCCCCACCCCCATCCCACAACACACACGTAGCTTCTTCCCTATCAACATCCTACACCAGAGTGACATATGTGTTACCACTGATGACCCTCGCTTGACACATTATTAACAAGCAGACCAATAGTGCACACTAGGGTTCATTTTTGGTGTATATTCTAAGGGTCTGGACAAACATAGAATGACCCGTGTCCATTTTTGGTGTATATTCGGGTTTGGACAAACATAGAATGACCCGTGTCCAAACATAGAATTACCTGTACTCCACCTGTCCATCCTTCCCTCTGACCTAAGACTTGGCATCCATGAATCTTTTTACGGTCTCAATCATTTTGACTTTTCCATAATGTCGTATAGTTGGAATCATACCGTATCTAGCCTTTTCAGATTGGCTTTTTTTCACTTAGTAATCTGCGTTTAAGTTTCCTTCATGTTTTTCATAGCTTGATAGTGCATTTCTTTTTAGCACTGAGTTATATTTCATTGTCTAGATGTATCACAGTTTATGCACTCACCTGCTGAAGGTCATTCAGTCACTAAGTTTTGAGGTCACTTGTGCTGCATCTATAGATTACTAAAATATATCTACTTTCTTGGTAATGGAGTGAATTAATTTCTTGGCATCTGGAGTTGCCATCCAGACCCCAGGGCTTTCTTCCTCTCCCTGAATTACACTGGAAGGGCCCTCCAGGAAAAGCAGAAGCTGTGGAGATGGGAACTCCCCTTTGTTAGAAAGGACATACATGGCTGGTAAATGGGAAACTCCTCTGACAAGATTCTCTGACACATGGTCTCAGACTGGTGTGTGCTGTCAGCTGGGGGCTCCTTTTCTGATGTGTCCCATTTGCTTATTAGTGAGGCCGACACTGGAAGTTGCCTACATTCCCATTTTCTTCTACTGAATATATCTGAGGGCTAACAATATGACCAACTTAAAATAAACACATTTCCCAGATTCCCTTGAGGATAAGGTCAACCATATGGCAGGTTCTGGCCAAAGAGATGTAATAGAAGCTACTGGAAAATCCCTTAAAAGGGGACAGACTCAAAATGGCACACATCATAACATCATAGGCCCTTCCTTTCCCTATATCCCATCAGGATGTCTGGATCCCAGCTTTCCTACTGACTTCCTGGACCTTGAACCCGTCATTGAACTTCTCTGCATTTCTGGGATTATTAGGGAGCATACACAAAGTAGCACTGCCTGGAGCAAAACAGGTAGCCAGTCAATGGAGACGGCAGTTGTTTTCATCATCATGCCCAACTACATCATGAACCCTGGCTCTTCAGGAAAAGGACATTTGCAATGTATTTAAAACTCATTTCCCTTAGGCCCATCCCAGATTCCTTTAGGCATCCTGTGCACATGGTCTGGTGTGAACTTCTCTTACAATAAAGAAACCCGTAGGATTATAGCAGATGATGCTCCAGTTTCTACTGCTGTGTAAAAGCAAACAAGCAAAACAGCTATTCGATCCTGCTCACAGATTCTATGGGTCAGGAATTCCGACAGGACACAGTGGGAACAATTTGTCTCTGCTCCACACCATTGGCACCTTAGGTGGGAAGACTAGAGCAGTGGTCCAGATCATCTGAGGGCTTATTTCCTCAGAACTGAAGGTGAGTTCCTTGCCTGGGCTGTGGTGATTCGAAGACAGGAAGTGCTACCGTGGGTTGTCCATGTGTGACTGGGATCCCTCACAGTGTGAAGGCCTCAGAGTGGTTGGACTGCTCACATGACAGCTCCCGGCTCCCAGTGCAAGTGTCCTTACAGCAAGTCAGAAGCTGAGTTGCCTTGTATGACCCAGCCTCGCAAGTCCCACGGCATCAATTCCCCCACATGCTCTGCTGGAGCAGTCACAGCCCGAGGGATTCAAGGGGAGGGGACAGAGGTTTCATCTCTCAGTGCAAAGAGCATCAAGGTCTTATTGCAGAAGGGCATGTGGGAGGAGGACGTGGCCATGGCCATCTGTGGAAAATACAATCTGCACCAATGAGGTGGGGCACTAGATAAGCAGGACAAAGCCCAAAGTGTCCAGAGGCTAGCACTTTGATCGTCATGGATAAGTAACTTGAGTCTAAAATGTACTAGAGCTACAAAATATGGGATTGGCGTCAGACAGGAGCAGATTCTTCAAGGACACTACATGATTTCCAGCATGCAGTGTCATTTATTTATGAACCACTGACACTCACTCTGAATAAAGTCAGAGGAAGAGCCAAAAGGGGTTTTGGATAATGAGAGTTTTAGTAAGAACACAACTTAAATAGATTCTTTGGCTGGTGCTGTGACAGTATGTGAACAGGACCCCTGACTTTAATTAACTATTTTGCCAGGTGGGCCTCCTTTTTAATTAGTGAAGATCTAAACAGATTTTTTTCCATTTTATTATCCAAGAAAAAAAATGTAGCATGGTTCCATAGCAATCTTTTGGGGTTGGAATTAATTTGATTAAGTGAAATTGTTGCCAAAATGGTCAGGCAGTCGCCTAAATATGGCCAATTGATGGCGAATGGCTTCTACCAAGCAATATTTCACTAGAGAAACTGATTTACTATTGTCAAAATAAGCATAGTCCAGATGAGTCTTATTAGGCTTTTAGAGTGCCCACTAATTGGAATATTTAAAGAAGAAGATACTTTGGTAATTCATAGCTCTTTGAGAGATAACTTACAAAAGGAAGAAAGGGGACCCCGAGTTGTCTACATAATAAACTGGTTTACAGATTCCAGCCCACATGCTTTGTTGGCTTATGCACCACGGAATAAAGAAATTTGTCACAACAAATTCTGCCTTGGATACCATTAAATTTCAAGTGGTGTGTTCATCATGAGAGCTGGGAACTTGATTTCTTGAACACCAAATCTGATTAATCCTGTGTCTTCCATTTGGCACAAATTCCAGAGTCATTTTCCAACCTTTGTCAAAATCATAAAGGAACTCAAAGGATGAGAGTATTTGAGAGGAGAAGAAGAAGAAAAACCACATCAGAACCAGTTATCCATCGAAGTCTTAAATTCAAGATCCAAATTTTCTAACAATTTATTTATATACTCAAAGGAAGAAACTAGACACACCCCGCCAAACTAGAAAGCGTGTGAAATGGTCATCATTACATCAGACCCCCTTACATGGGCGGGGCTGAGAGTTGCCTCACACCCTCTTTCAGAGGAGCGGTGTTCTGTGAGAAGGGGCAGTATTTTAATTCTGAAATTGTGTTTAATATTCTGGGCCATCAAGTGAAGCTGACACCGGGGATGATTCTGTGAGGTCATGCGCCCCCCCCCCACCCCGGGTGCTTAGAGTCACTGCTCAGTCTGAGAAGCTAAGACCTGAGGAACAAAATGCATGGGGCATCTGGGACTAGATAAATATTTGGGGCAAGAGCAGAGGGTGAGCAGAGGATCGGGAGACCAGAGCCCTGAAGCCAGAGGCTTGGGCCTGGCTATTTCCAAACTCTTTTCCAGATAAGCCCCAGTCTTCCACAACTGACTCCTGCCTGGAGCCTCATCTCTCCCTCCCTTCTCCTCTTCTTCTTTTCCTGTCTCCTCTTCTTCCTCCCCTCCCTCCTTCTCTTCTTCCCTCTTCCCTCCCTCCCTCTCTCCCTCCTTCCTTCCTTTCTACTTTCCTGCCATCCTGCCTTCTCCTTGTTCCTGCTTTTTGTTTCTATTTTTCTCTCTGTTTGTCCGTTAAAAGTCTCATTCCTTGCCACAGCATAGCCAGAGTATTTAAAAATAACTTTTCACCATTTTAGAAGAGATGGTCATTGCTATAAAAAGAAACTGTAGAACAATTTATGTTCCTCTGGGTATATTCCTAGAAGGGAATTGCTGGATCACATGGAAGGTCAATTTCTAGTTTCTTTAGAAATCGCTGCACTAATTTCCACAGAGGGTTGCACTCCCACAAACAGTGTAGAAGTGACCCCTTTTCTCCACATCCATGCCAGCATCTGCTATTTTTTGATTTATTGATGAGGGTCATCCTTACTGGAGTTAGGTAGTATCTCAGTGTGGTTTTGATTTACATTTTTCTGATGATTAGTGTGGCTGAGCATTTTTTCATGTATCTGTTAGCCATATGTTTTCTTTTGAGAAATGTCTATTCATGTCCTCTGCCCATTTTTGAATAGGGCTGTTTGTTTGTTTGTTTGTTTTTCCTTTCAGCTCGTTTGAGCTCCTTATAGATCCTAGATGTTAGGCCTTTGTCAGATACACAATTCGCAAATATTTTTTCCCTTTCTGTAAAAAGATACCTGCACATGCATGTTTATTGCCACACTATTCGCAACAGCAAAAACAAGGAACCAACCCTACTGCCCATTGAAAGTGGACTGGATAAAGAAAATGTGGTACATACACATAATGGAATATTACACAGCTGTAAAGAAGAACAAAATCATGGACTTCACAGCAAACTGGGTGGAGTTAGGGATCTATCACAGAAACAAAAAACTGAGTTCCACATGTTCTCACTCATAAGTGGGCCCTGAACATTCATCACAATAGCACAAGGGAGGGATCAGCAGTCATGGGACATTGCTGGGGGGTAGGAGCACATAGCAACAGAAGGGTACCTGGTCCTAAACTAGGGGAAATGAGGAATAGTTGGAGGCCCAAACTTCACCTGCACATGCGTTACTTATGTACCTAATCCTAACTAATACCCAACATCTCTATAGTAAAATAAAGTTATAAAAAATACTTTTCAGAAAATAAATATACAAAAAGAAACTATAGTTAGTCAGTGAACATGAGGAGAAACAAGAAAAATTACTTGATCTTCTAATCACAGAAAATGACCATTAGCATTTTGTTAAAATGTTGGTTTAGAAAGGGAACTGACAATGAACATTTTTGTAAGCTTCTTCTATAATATAGAATGTACTGTGAACATATTCCCAGTTATCAAATATACTTCAACACTCATTTTTATTGACTGCATCGAATCCCATGGTGGGTAGACCATTGTTTTGTTGACCCACACCTTACTGAGTTTGGGTTTCTAAAAGTACATTGGTATGGAGCTAGACTACCTGTGTTCGTCCATTCTTGGGGATGATGGACCCCTTGCATTGCCCTGGGAGCAGCGTCCCCAGCCCTTTCCTAAGCTGCGTCTGTTCCTTCTCCAGCTCCAGAGGCCAGCTTCTTGCACACATCTGGGGTTGGCCTGGATCTACCCTGTATATCTATATATCCTGTTTGTCTCACCTGGTGCCTTTACAGTTGGCTTGGTCCCCCTCAGGGTTTTGCTATGTGACACCTACTGGTTGCCTCAATGTATCTAAAGTTAAACCATGTGTCCTTGTTTAGACAAAATCTCCAGGCAATGTCTAGGACTAAGTAAATGTTTGGGGTCAGTTCAATCTCCAAGTTCAGTTCCTTGGGTTTCTAAATACCATGTTCAAGTTCAGAGTAAAAGCTTAAATCTATATGCACTCAAAAAAGATTTATTGAGTGTACTAAGTGTACTGTGTACTAGGTTCAGAGTCTAGGGGCAAAGAGTAGGTTCAGGAACCACCCACAGAACCTGTGTGTGTCCACCAAGGCTTCCCATTGCCCAAGCCAAAGGGAGCTACCAGAGACTAAACAAGAAAAAGCCATTTGTGACATGAAGTTAGAGTAGCATCTTTCCTTGTTCTCTGGGTTCACAGGGAAGTTTTAGCCGGTTTCTAAAGGCCACAAAGTCACACACCCATACCGTTAACAATTTATAAACTTCAAGGTCACCTGTATAATGTATATGTGTGTTTTCTAATCTTGAACCTTCTTCCTGGCAACAGACCTTATAGAATGACTGACCCTCCCCCAGCCCTGCTGCCAGGGGTCCTCTGCCTTTGGTCTGTTTCTTTAAGTACTCTTACATTACTGAAATTCCTTCTGATCACTTGTGACTAGAAAGTTTTTCTCCAAATGTACTGTGAAATGAAGAAATTTAGCAGTCTTAAAACACCTCAGAGAAGAGAATCAACGAAGCTCCCTTATTAGCTATATGAGGTCCTGAGTAATAGAGGATTGGTCGTAACCTAGCAACTAATTTAGAAACTGGGAGCAATGCAATCAGAGTTTAAAATATCCTGAGGAACATCAAGTCACTAAGTCCAAATATGTGGTTTCTGACAGATGATTATCTTCTGTTGAGATTAGTCAATATGTATTACTGTTATTTGCAACGAGGGATAGGATATAACCTCTCTGTTATATTTGAAAAATAAATTGCTGTGATGAAGTTCCCAGAGTCCAGAAATGTTTCTAATATTGTTTTTCTGATCCACATGCCCTTCCTTTCCTTCCAGGGAGTAGAAATCATAACAGGTAGTGTGAAAAATGGCACTTACTTCCGAATTCATATTAACCAGTACAAAATGGTGGAAACCATCACGTGCCTGTCAAGGGAGCCCTTCCCTGCCTCCAACTACATCCGCCTGTTTGGCCAGCATGAGCAGCTGCTCAACAACCTGTGCGCTCGGTACAAGGACAACCTGGTCACAGATCTCTACAGGTGAGCTGGATGTCACATTTGCCTACCGGGCAATGTACATGGTTCCTACGTCTTGTGAACGTTGTGGTGCATGTGCATTGTGGTGCACCAGAGGGCAAAACAGGGGTCCCCCGGGAGTAACTGGAGTGGCCAGGATTTCCTTCTACTATATACAGAATGTCTGATCGCTTGCCATGGCTAGAGAGCAAAGGGTCATGAGAGGAAGGGCATGGACTTCATAAGTGTCCACACATGATCCCCATGGCCACCAAGTGAGACAGGCTCCAATGAGATGGCACTCAAGTCTCTTTCTGCATGAGACTACTCAGAGCAGTGGTCAGAAACTTAAGAGGAACAGGATGCGGAAGAATCTGGTCCTGGTGGGAATTCCACACCACAGGATGGAATGTTGTGACCAGATGCTGTTACTCATGGTGTGCATTCTTGCAGAGTTGAGGTGACCATCTGTCCAGGATTCTGGGAGGAAATTTCTGCACTGACAAGTCAGTTGACTAGGTGATCTCAATCTTTGTCTTTTCAAACTCTAAGACACCCTTCATCCTCTGCCATCAGGAAAGCATTGAATTTTAGAGTGGAAAGCTACTTCTGGATGTAGCCTGTTGCTTAGCAAGGTGAGAGTATCCCTTACCAATACCAGGTACAGATGCAGAATGTAGATCATAGTATTCAGTCTTCCGATGCCCATAGGGGTGACTGCCAGAATCAGAATCAACCTCTCCTTCCCTCTTAAATTTGTTAAAATTGAAGAATACATTACATAAGCAAAAAAGCAGGTGAAACATGTTATGTGTACTTTAAGGGAATAGAATACTGGAAATCTGCATGTCTACCACCTCCACTGAGAAGTGATTTCTTATCTCAGGACATTAGCTGCCCCTCTGTGATCACAGCCTCCTCTGTCTCCTTGGAGGTTGTCACTCTCCTGAAGTTTGAGATAGTCATTCTGTTTCTTGTGAAGTAGGGGTCAGCAAACTGTTTCTATAAAGGGCAGATATGGCTTTTTCCTCAAGTACTCAACCTTGCCCTTGTAGTGGGAAAGTAACCATGATGATACATAAACAAATGGACACAGTTTGTCCCAGGAAAGCTTTAACTACCAAAACAGGCACTGGGCAGGATTTGGTCCCAAAGTTGTAAGTTTTCCAACCCTTGTTTTATTTTAATTTTTAATTTTAAAGATGTGGGCTATAATTCAGGGTTAGGTATACAAATGTTCATTATACAGGTGCCCTGTTGATGAGGTATATCCCCTTGTCCCCAGCAGTTTCCCACTATTGCCAATCCAACCCTTGTTTTAAAGATGTGCACATATGTGTTTATGACTTTCTCAGTAACATATCAATTTGCTTTACCTACTTTTAAATCAAATCTGTGGCTTACAAAACAAAGCCAGCATTCTGTCAAGCACTATGTTTGTGGAAACCATTCTTGCTGATACATTTTACCAGAGTTCACTTGTCCCCTGCTGCCTCGTAGTTCATTGTCTCACTGTGTCACAGTCCACTCATGAATATTGCTTTTGACCAGTGTCTACACTGTTTCCAGTTTGGTGCCGTTACAACCAATGTTGTGAACACTGTGGGCATACATCATGTGCAGAATTTCTCTAGGATATCCAAATCCTAGAACTACTGGGTCACAGGACATGCACATCTTCAACTTCACTAGATAACACCCAAATGTTGCCCAAAGTGCAGTCATGTGCCACATAACAATGCGTTTAGGGCAGTGACGGACCCCATATATGATGGTAGTCCCATAAGATCATCATGAAGCTGAAAAATTTCTGTCACCCCGGGATACATTTCACCTGGCACAATATGTTATGATCATGTTTGTGGTGATGCTGTTTTAAACAAACCTACGGCACTGCCAGTTGTATAAAAGTACAGAGCATATAGCCGGGCACAGTGGCTCACACCTGTAATCCTAGCACTTTGGGAGGCCAAGGCGGGAGGATCACTTGAGCCCAGGAGTTCAAGACCAGCCTGGGAAACATAGCAGGACTTTGTCTTTACAAAAAATAAAAAAAAGTTAGCCTAGTGTGGTGGCACACACCAGTAGTCCCAGCTACTTGAGAGGAGAATCCCTTGAGCCTAGGAAGTCGAGGCTACAGTGAGCCATGATGGAGCCATGATGGAGCCACTGCACTCCAGCCTGGGCAATAGAGTGAGACCCTGATTTTTTTTTTGTATAGCACATACAGTTATGGGCAGTTATGTGCAGCATACAGTATTTGCTGATGATAATAAATGACTATGTTACTGGTGTATTCATTTTCTATATTGTACTTCTGTCATTAGTTTAGAGAATATACCTTTGCCATCGGGTGACCTGCAGGGATACCCTCCCAGGGCTGTCATTTTCCATTTCCTGATTCATAATGCAGTCAAGAGCCTTTCCATTAGTTCATGAGCCATTCGTGCTTGCTTCTGTGAAATGACATTTGTGACATGTGTTCAAATTACTTTTGGGTTATCTTCCTCTTGTTCATTTACAGGAGTTATTTATGAGGGAGACCCCCCAAAAACCAGAATTATCTTTTTGGATGGTGGGCCCCTTGTAGTATACTCAGAATTTGCTCCTTCGTATCAAACAGTCAGCCAAAGTTTTTATATGGAAGTTTTGAGAAGGTTGCATTATGATTTGGAGAAGAAGCATCCCAAGTTGTGGCAGACAGGTGACTGGTTCTTCCACCATGATGATACATCAGTCCATGCCGTGCTGAGTGTTCAGCAATTTTTGATGAAAACCAGCATGACCCCTGTGCCCCACACTCCCTATTTACCTGATCTCAACCCGAGCAACTTTTTTGTTTGTTTCACCATGAAAAAAAATCCTCAAAGGGAAACTTTTTGCCAATGTGGAAGAGGTAAAACAAAGAGTATTTTTTGTAGAGAAACCTCGTCTCTACAAAAAACAGCAGAATCCCTAAAAGGTATCATAATTGAATTAAAAAGTTGTTTTGAGCAGTGGAAAAAGTGTCTCAATAGGTATATTGCATCAAACACAGAGTACTTTGAAGGCGGCTGAATTTTATTTTTATTTTATTTTTTATTTTTTGAGTTGGAGTCTCACTCTGTCGTCCAGACTGGAGTGCAGTGGCCGCTCCCGGCCACCGCAGCCTCGACCTGCTG